AAGCCTCATGTGAATGTGGGGACAATTGGACATGTTGACCATGGAAAGACTACACTGACTGCAGCTATTACGAAGGTTGGATTGATTACGAATGTTTTTTGTTTCTTGACCTAAGTTTTAATATATCTTCAATCTGCGTTCTCATTGAAAACTATGGTTTGTTGAAGGATATAAGTGTTTATATTTGCTAATTACATGGAATTGGTGAATATTCAATCCTGGAAATTGTTGTTTAAATTCAAATTCCTTTAGGTATTGGCCGAGGAAGGGAAAGCTAAGGCTGTTGCATTTGATGAAATTGATAAAGCCCCAGAAGAGAGGAAGAGAGGAATTACTATTGCAACGGTTGGAGTTCAAATTTTCTTTTTGTTGGCCGCTTACTTCTTCATTTACTTTAAGGCTTATGTATACCGCTCCTATAACTATCACCTGCCTTGGGTTAATGATGCGTTTTAATTCTGCAGGCTCACGTAGAATACGAGACTGCCAAGAGACATTATGCACACGTAGATTGCCCAGGACATGCAGATTATGTCAAAGTAAGCTATGGATTAATACTTTTATATTTCTAAAATGGAGTAGGGTAATTTGTCATTCAACTATACCTTTGACTAAGCGGTTGATATAAATGTTATGGATAAGGAGGAGTGAGTGGTTCAGCGTAAGTAGATAGAATAATGAAGAATGTGGGTGTTCTTTTTTAACTAGCTGGTGGATACTTAAGTCAGGTCAATTGCAAGCTGGATGTAGTTTTTTGGTGGAAAACTTCTATCACAGCTTTACAGTTATAAAATATGTCGGTTTTAACAACCAATGTGCACAACAATTACATCAAATGGTTATGTTTTTCTGATTGTCTAAGTTCTTGAAAGAAAATAGTGAAGGATGGTGATAATTGGTGCAGAACATGATTACTGGAGCTGCTCAAATGGATGGTGGTATCCTCGTTGTCTCTGGCCCTGATGGGGCCATGCCTCAGACCAAGGAGCATATTCTACTAGCACGGCAGGTATACATTTGTTTGTTTGGAGCATACATGTTTTCTGCAGATTAAGCTTTGTTTCTACGTGCTTTCAGGATGTAATGTTGATGCACTATAGATTTGTTTTATTGCATCAATCAGGTTGGTGTTCCATCACTTGTGTGCTTTTTGAACAAAGTTGATGCTGTTGATGATCCTGAACTGTTGGACCTTGTGGAAATGGAACTTCGTGGTATGATTATGCAGTTATATTTTGGTGCAGCTACTGTTTCCAGGCTGTCAAATTTATAGGAAACATTTCAACAGTGGTTTATGTTTTCTTGCAGAACTTCTCAGCTTCTACAAGTTCCCTGGCGATGACATTCCAATCATCAGGGGTTCAGCTTTATCTGCATTGCAGGGTACGAATGAAGAAATTGGTAAAAAGGCTATTCTAAAGTTAATGGAAGCTGTTGATGAATACATTCCTGATCCTGTTCGACAGCTTGACAAACCTTTCCTGATGCCAATTGAAGATGTTTTCTCTATTCAGGTATGGAGAATTTGCACGGGGTTTGTATATGTACTTATAGTTGAAAAAATGTTGCCCTTGTTTTTGTGTTCTGTGTTGTCCTTCATTTCATCTGCAAGATTGTCTAATTTTCTTTTACTTCATTTCATCTGCAAGTTTGTCTAATTTTCTTTTCTAAGTCTCAATGTGGAATACTAATATCTAAAGTATAGGTGTACTTATTTGTGGAGTTATTTTTGAAGTGAACTAATATCTTTAATACCTTGTTGGTGTTTTGCTGTTAAAATATTTGTAGAGTTATTTTTGAAGTGAACTTAATTCTTTCTGTTTATGCTGAAGGGTCGTGGAACTGTTGCTACTGGTCGTGTTGAGCAGGGAACTATTAAAGTTGGTGAAGAAGTTGAAGTTCTAGGGTTGACTCAGGTAAATTGATGTTACCGTTTTCAATTTCTAACTATGTTTTGTGTGTGCGGGATTGGGCACTCACACCTTGTGCCGATTTTGGGCCAATGTTGAATATGCAACTAGCTAGGGATGATTACATTCTTGGGGCTAGGTATTGTGTGTTATAATTACGGCCTTTGTTCCTGAAAATTAAGATTGTTTTGATTATACTTCTTCGCAATGTCTTTTGCAGGGGGCTCCTATGAAAACTACTGTAACTGGTGTTGAGATGTTCAAGAAAATCTTGGATCAAGGACAAGTAATTGACTGTTGTTTTTATCTGGCATTGATTTTTTTTTTTAAATAAAAAAATGCATATTCAAAAAGACAATGAAAGAAGTAAACTTGAAGATTGTAACCCACCTAAATTGGATTTTGGTTCAATTTAGTTAGCTTCTATTTATGTTATGCTCTTTTTCAAATGAGAAAGGAAATTTGATTTTTAAAATGGAACACAAATAGTAAAAGAACCTCCAACAGAACAAGCCAAATGAGTTTAAAAATCGTGAATGAGATTTTTCTAACGTTAATTTTATGATTTTATTAGGCTGGTGATAATGTGGGTCTCCTTCTCCGTGGTCTAAAAAGAGAAGACATTCAACGTGGACAGGTATGTAGATTGGTATCACTCATGCTGAAATGAAATTTTCGTTAAAACTGCATTCCATCTTTTGGATAATGTCACAGATAACTTTTTAACAATGAGCAAGAAGGTTCTTCCGTTCTGCCTCTAACACAATTTTCATGCTCATAGTTTTATCATTAGGCATCCAAATATTCTTATTTTGCCGGTATTAAAATGAATTCAGCTGATTTAGTTAGTAAACCGCATTGCATTCTAACACATTGAACACATATTTTTAGTTTGACCGCAAAATGGGAAAATAATGTTGTGTACGACGGGCTTACTTGAATTGAAAGTGTTATTTTCATTGAGAAAACAAAAATATAAGAAAAGCTTCACTCCAAGCTAACCAAATTAAAGAAGCCATGTTAGTCTCTATGCATATCATTGAAAATCATTCTATTCCTTTCCTTAACTTCCATACGCTCACAACATTACATTTTGAAGGTGGCTGTATCCTGTACTCCTAGATATGGATGTTTGAAGCGTTCCTTTATTTTTATTTATTTATTTATTTTTTGTATGTAGGTTATTGCAAAGCCTGGAAGTCTGAAAACTTATAAGAAATTTGAGGCCGAGATATATGTTCTCACAAAAGAGGAAGGTGGCCGACATACTGCTTTTATGTCCAACTATAGACCTCAATTTTACATGAGAACTGCAGATATCACTGGAAAGGTTGAATTACCTGAAAATGTTAAGATGGTTATGCCTGGTGACAATGTGACTGCAGCTTTTGAGTTGATTTTACCCGTTCCCCTTGAAGCAGGTGCGTCACATTTAAACTCTCTGGTTGTATAAAGACTAAGCTAATCCCCTTTCACAAATTCTTTGGTATAATATTCTTTTGATGTGTTGTGCTACGAAGTTTGGTGTAAAAAAAAGCTACTTCAAAATTGTGTCTATTTTTAGTGCATTTTGTGTTGGGTGTAGGAGCGAGGATTTTATAGTTCTTCTAGTCATACGCATCTACGGATAAGACATTCCCGTCTTACACATCTACGGATAACACATTTATTACAGCCTTTTGACATAGAATATTAAAATTTTACCAAGTGTTTTTCTTTAATATCATTCCCGTCTTACACATCATTAGCCAGCCTAGGCCCTATATAATATAGAAGTTTCAGGGTTTTAATTATTGACAGCCTTGATTGTTTACATGTAAACGTATATGAATATGTACTTGAATCTGAATCTGATACTGGCTTCTAGGAAATGAAAATTTTCACCTGTTCATTTTGGGTCACGTCTATGGTTTAGGGTGCTTTTTTGTTCGGTTATCCAACAATGATCCCTAAATGCCATGTTTTGTTATTTACAGGACAAAGATTTGCCCTGAGGGAGGGTGGTAGAACGGTTGGTGCTGGAGTAGTTTCGAAAGTTATTAGCTGAGGAGGATGGAGGGTACTGCAGCCCATGCACTTGAAAGCTCTTTCAATACTCATTACAAAGGTGTGGTCAAACAATTTTTGAAGATCCTTGACAAAGCGATGCTATATTTACTGAGTCGGTGTTGATGATTTATTTGTTTTAGGCACTTGAGAGATTATTAGAATGTTGTGTAATTTGCATAAATTAAGGAAGTTCCATTTTATTGTTCTCATAGCCGCCAAGATGATCTTGGTCCTCATCTCTTCTTTGGGTTTTCAAGTTGGATCACTAATAATTTTAGAGTACATAAATGATGATGGCATAGTCAATGCACGTTCAACTTAATTCTTTTGTTTGAAGATTTAGTTAAACAATTACATGTTTCACCTTTTTTAGTCCTTTGGGAATTCAGCTGCTAGTTCGTTGTTATTTTGCGATGAATATATATATATATATATATGTTATTCATATATATATATATATGTTATTTTGGTCATGTTTATGTCTACGATATAGTTAAATTATGATTAGGTTGATTGGGAGGGTGTGGCGGGCGTGCACTCATGTCTTTTTGGTCTATGATATATTTAAACTATGATTAGGTTGCTCTTGTTAAACGAGACAATTTTTTTCCTGATTTTATCTAGTTTGGGCAAGAAAGAACTGTCTCGTTAAAATTTGGGTGAGAAAGTGTTTATTACGAAACTCGTAGAATAACATATATATTTTATCCACGGGTGAAAAAATGGTGACTTGGTAACAAAAAGAAATATTTTTTTAAAAAACAAACACTTTCAAAAAAAAAATCTTAGAGTATGAACATTTGATCAACAGACACGAAACTCTTATTTTGTATGTTAGATCGACTCTTTGGCTTCAAGTCTCGAGAAAACGGTCCTTTAAACTTCATATCATATAGCCAAAAATGGAAAGAATTTTTAATTGTCTAAGATAAATTTCTTTCCATAAATTTTCCCCCCTACCTACCTTGAATATGGCATGCACGAAAAAAAAGCACATAACTTTCCATACAAAATCTCTCTTCCTCTCTGTTTTTGCTCAGTAATCTCGTGTTTGGGAAGGGTTATTTGGAGCTTAATCAGTTCCAATGGCGGACGATCATGCAGCATCTTCTCAAGTAAGCACTTTTCACTTCTCTTTACCTTCATTCTTCTCTTTATATTTCTTCTCCAACTTCTTCTGCAGATTTGTAGCATAAAAATGGATATCAACTGCTGTCAAAAGTGCCCTCTAAAACTGGAGAAAGCTCCTCAAATCAAATGGTATGTTCTAAGAAACATTTCAATCTTCATCTCTTTCACCACAGTATACCTTTCATTTACCCTTCTGTGTGAATTTACTATGGTAGGAGTGGAATCTGTTACTATAGACCAAGATAAAGGGCTGGTTACAGTAGCAGGTGACATTGACCCTGTTGCACTCTTACAAAAAATAAAAGCTATGGGGAAAGAAGCCAAACTCTGGTTCTTTCAACAGGAATCCAACTGCAGTGAGAAAACCACTGGGCGTTCGAGGAGTGGTTCGAACATCGAACATGGTGGCATTGGATCTGATAGTATCACTGAGAATGAAACACACTTTGGTTGGCATTTGGCAACGGGCATGAAGGAGCACGATCGGGGGTTTCAGAGCTTGCCTACTATGTCTTCTGATGTTAATGGGTGTTCATATCCCCGGAGCTTGTCGCCTGCTATGTCTTCTAATGTTCATGCATATTCATATCCTCAGAGCTTGGCTCGACTTGGATACCGACCTATGTGGCCATATCAGCAATCAGTTCCTCGCCATAGGCTCACACCTCATGGTTACTACTTGCAGCCACATCCCCCGCCTGCTTATCGTCACTTTCAGCCTCGGTCTCCTCCTAGAGCTAATCCTATGGTGCATTATACTTGACTATGCAGACAATTATAGGCTATAGTTAAGTTCAAAAGACAATGTGCTACTGCTTCCCCTCTGTAGCAAACAAATGCCTGACTAATGAAAGAATACTTTTGATGGAAGAAACTAATGAACTTATATATATATATATATTTGGATACTGGGAATTGCTTTATGAACAATCCTTATTTGGCTACACTTGCAGTTTTATGTCTCATTATTGTACCTGGCTGGGGATTCGCTATTAGTTACAACGTGTTCAGAATCTCAATCATTAAAACTTTTAGCCTCAAAAAGGGTACAACTGTGAGCCTGCATTCCGTAAGTAACAGGTGACGTCGTTGGCACTGGCTCCCCATCAGATGAGAAAAACCCGGGAAATGACAGAGCTGTGTCAACCAGCCTAAACCAGTTTGTACCTTCTGATGGTTCAGGTAAAGCAACACTTACAGATTGGTCAGATGCATTGAAAGCCATGAATATATCGCTTTGAGGCTTGGGATTCTCAGTGATTGATCCACTTTCCTCTTTATCAGCTCTCAGCATCACAGCCAGGAATTTGCAAGAAGGATCTTCCCAATCTGGTGGTGATTGGTTATTATCAAACCAGTCTATGTTTTCGACCTTAAGAAAGTTTCTGCTCTGGAAAAGGTCAAAACGCCTTGATCTAAATGAACTCAAAAATGTGATGAACTGTGTGGTTTGAGTGCCGAAATCAGTCTTTAGTGAATCCCAATTGAATGACTTCCTGTCTTTGAATGCCACAGATCCCCCTGAAGATTGGCCGCACTCATCTCCCATGTTAAGAACAGGGACACCAAGTGAAACAAACAGCACAAATATAAAATTACGAATCTGTTTGAGTCGTTTTTCTAGAACTTCAATGTTACTTGTCGGTCCTTCTTCCCCACAATTCCAACTCAACTCTGAAGCTAACTTGCTGCTACTAAAACTCACAAGGTCGACGAGAGGAAGGCCAACGTTTCTAGCAATGAAGTTGAAAGAGAATGCAGGGCCTCGCCCATCTGAGAATACATCTCCACTCCCACAAAGCCGGGTTGCAAGGCTACTCACAAGACCTTCTCCCCTGAAAAATTCCTTTATATCATTACTGAATTTTGAATTCAGCTCTGCCCATCTCTTCCAATGAGGGAAACGAGTTTCCTTTGGTACTGACTCCTGTGGATCCCAGAAGTCAGCAATTATTTTAGTTTTTGATAGAAGTGGATCAAAAGCAATTGCTTCTACGAAAGGAGGGCGAGACAACAATTCGCCATGATGTCCTTGCAGCAAAGATGAAGCATTTATGAAACAAAAACCATCTATATGAAACTCGGTCACCCAATGTCGAAGACTATCCAAAAGTAATTGCTGCACTATGGGATGATTGCAGTTCAGAGCACTTTTTCCTTCCGAATTCGCGACCCTATTCACAAAATAGTAACATGAGTCATCAATCCCTTGCAATGCTCCATCCATGGCAGTGTGAGTAAAAACAACTTCCAAGATGACCTCTACTCCATTGGCGTGCAGTTCTTTGACCATCTCCTTCACGGAGTTGAGAGAAGATATGGAAGCCCCAGAAGGAACATAAATGTTTGTTGGTGAGAAGAAGTGAAAAGGAAAATATGGTCCGTCTTTCTCATCAAATGGAAAGATTGGCTCTAGTAGAACCGCATTCACCCCCAACTTCTTAAAATGCAACAACTTCTGGGTCAAACCAGAAAATGTACCAGCAGTATCTATTGGAAGCTGACTTGATTTGTCGACAGTAAAATGTTTCACATTCAATCGATAAATGAACAGTTTCTCCATTGGCAAGTTAGGACGAACTTCCCCATCCCAGGAAAATGCGGGAACATTGCATATCTGCCCAAGAAATTTTGAAGGCAATCCAAGTCCCTGACCACGAGTTTTAGGAATAGATGCTGTAAGGATCTTAGCATATGGATCCACAAGAATCCGACTTACCTCAGCTTCATCTTGATTTTCATGAAACTTGGACCCCCTGCATCGATAACCATAGCTCACGAAGTTTGAAGCACCTTCAAATGAGGCATGCCAAATATTGCCCGATCGGTTAATGTACGGATCTAAATCTAGCTCTAATACAGGTTTTTCCGATGTGCTGTCATTGTACAGACATAAAACTACACTTTCTGCAGTGCTTGAGAAAATGGAAAAATTTATGGAACCATCACCTGAAATGGAAAGACCGAGCGGACTTGGATAACCTCGACCAAACCCAACAGGTACAGAAAAGCTAGTCTTCCTATGACTTTTAATTTCAGAGCTGCCTGAATCAACACCCACTGGATATTTCAACAGAAAAGAAAGGTAGAAAGGATCGTGCTTAGCATCAAACTCCAATTCAACAGCAAATTTCCCTTCAGAAGTTCTTACAAAAGGGGTTTCCGTTGCTCCAATTGTCTCTTCTGGGAGTATACTCTGAAAGTTGGGAGTTACAATAGCTGAATTAGATCTATAAACCCCCCAACTAAGCAGCAGTGTTTCATCAATGCTCGCTAGTTTCAAGGACGAAATTTCAATACTGAACATAAAACCAGACCCTCTCTTTCCAACAAAAGCGTAAACCAAATCCCCAAACTCTGTCCTAAACAAATAAGTTGCAACCTTTCTGTCTTCCTCAGTTTTACCACCAGTACCGAATTTCTGTCCACTTTTCCCAACGGAAATTCGAGATGGAGCATATGCTCTACAAACGTTCCGGTGCAAAGATTTTGTAAAACCTACTTTACTTTCTCCATGAGCCTGCATTCTAGCCTCATCCAATTTTCCAGACTGATAATTCATCTTCTGTCCATATGTATGGTAATCACTTACAGCCAGTTTGAATGATTCAGTACCTCCACGATTATATCCACAGAATGGCTGAATGAGTGAAGACAGGAAAGTTGCCATCTATAACTACAAATGCATCTAACTGAAAGAAATAAATTTTCCAACCTGAAATTGATCAAGTGTTCTGTGCCAAGCAAAAATCAACCATCAATTTTGTTTCTGAAAAACACCACAGCTCTTAGACTAAACGCAACAGTATTCATCAAATAAACAAGAGGATCATTAGTTAGTTCACACAATAATGTCATTTTCTCCTCAACCAATGCTATCAAAATTCACGAATCAAAACAATATCCAGTTACATCAGAATATACATTGAATATAGCCTAATCTATCCACTTCATGTAAATCAAAATCTCAGGACGGGAAGAAAAAAGTCATCAGAAATCAAAATTGCGCAATACACAGACAGAAAAAGCATCAAAAGCTTGAGAAACATTGTTAAAAAACCGAGTTCGAGAATCTGAACTTACATTTCTCTGATTTCGCTCGCTGTGCTGAAGAAACGAGAAGAAAAAAACATGAAATAGAGACGAAGAAAGGAAGAATGTAGGTAGTTTTTTAGGTCAGAATGATCGAGATCTAAGCACCGATAATGGAAGGTAATGCGATGGAGACGGAATGTTGGAGAAGGACAGGAGCGAAGGAGAGTGAGTTTCTGCAACTCTGCCTCGTCTTCTCGCGAGGAATCAACCAGCGTTCAACTTTCCATCCTGGCCGTTGATTTTATTTTTAAGGAAGTATTATTATTATTTATTCTTTTAAAATTTTATATTACTATTTCTCTATAAATGAAAAAGGAATTTCCTTTTTCTAGATTTTTTCTCTCAAGCTCAACTATTTTTAGTTATGGGTCCATACATTTTTTTTATTATTATTAATGCATTTAAATATTTTATATAAAAATAATATATTATTTAGAGGGTTGACCCAACTATCCAATTCAAACTATACAAATCTAACGACCGATCATTTATTTTACCTCTTGCATCTCTCGAAAAGAAAATGCATCGAACAAAGGAGAGAGTGTCAATAATTTGTGTGGATTCGAATCAGCAATTACAAAAAGCAATGCAAGGAAAATTTAAGTATCAAATCAAGAAAATAATGAAAATTTAAGTATCAAATCAAAAAAATAATAAGCGGCAGTAAATTTCACAATGTGATTGGAAGACTTCTCGTCTCTGGTAGTTGAACTGTATTATGTTTGAATTATGTTTTAGACGTATTTAAAGACATGTAATATTCATCCTTAAAATAATGGTGGAATGGTTTGAAACCCTTTGCGTGTTATGTTTATTTCAAACTTTATGTTTGATGTTAAAATCAATTCATTGGATTAGTCAGGATCGAATTAAGCTAATTCCAGATTGAGTTGGAATTTAAGAGTGACCGTCCTAGATTCAAAGTTCGATCTTTATTCATCTTTTAATTAGAATTCTAGGGTGGGTTGAAATTTAAGAATGACAATCATAAATTTGAACTAAGGGTTATTCATCTTCTAACATGCTCTTGAAATTAATTGTTAGCTTTCTGTGGAATTTTGGAACGATAGACCAAAATCAAGCATAGATGGTATTCGTTATTCTCCATTTATTCATTGTTAATCGTATATGGTTCGGTCACGCCTATTGCTACGAAATGATTGAGAACGGGACGAAAGGCATTTTATGATCGAATATTTAAAATAAAAAACTATCACAATATAATTAGCCATCCAATCCAAAATTTCAGTTTGGGTGGGCCATAAATAATTGGGCCACTGGACATTTCAAGGAGCGGCCCACACAAAATCATGGGAAATATGGGCCGGGCCGGGCCGGAGCCGAATGATTGATTTGGTGGGTCACGTGTTGTTTACACAGTCGAAGATATTAATTCGAAGAAGCGCACATTAGAGTAATGAGAAAATGATTTCTTATCATGCGCAGGGCGTATTTTGCATCTTGCTCACCTAACCAACTCATATCTCTCCGTGTGAAATCGCTCCTTCCACGAACATAAAAACTCTGCAGACGGTTTTTCTTCGGCTTTTCTCTCTCTCTCTTGCTGTGGAAATTTAGGGTTTTTTTTCTTCCCACTCTTTTACTTCGTGTTCTCATCACTGAAACCTTATTTTTTCGGACGGGTTTTGCTTTCCAATGTCTGTTAATTACTTGAAGTTCTTTTGTCGGTGCAACAACTTCCAATTCTTCGGGCGATTTCTGCTGATTGGTGGCTTTGTTCTTCCAATTGAGTTGAAATAGTGGGTTTCTCTCTTCAATCGAAGCCCTCTGTGGTTGTGCCTATGGCGCCGAGTCGAAGAAAGGGCGCCGGTAAAGCTGCTGTGGCAGCCGCCTCGCTCCGGCAGTGGAAAGTTGGGGATCTTGTGCTGGCTAAAGTGAAAGGATTCCCTGCTTGGCCTGCTACGGTATGGTTTAGTTTGTTGAACTTCGTATGTTTGTTTTGGATGAGATAGTGTTTTCTTTTGTGCTTTAGTAAGGGTTTTGGATTGCATGTTTTTTGGGGCATTTGGCTTTTGGGGTTGACTAGTGGTTTGGCACGGATTTGGAGATAGTTTAGCAAGGTTGTGGTGGTTCTGATTGAGAAAAGCCTTTAACTTCATGGATATTTGATGGGTTCTTATTACACAATTCGGGAAGTTTTGGAATATCAGTTCGCAGTTTTAGGGGATACGATGGTTTTGTGGGCTATAATTATTTGGACGGGTTATTAGGTATTATGTAAACTATTAATATTTTTCGGATGGAAAATAGGAGATGTACTGATAGTTTGTGGGACTTAAAATTTACCAACAAGGAAACTGACACGATGATGATGTTGGAAGTGGAACGATCACATGACACCTTACTGTGAATTCCCAACTTTCAATTTTGTGTTGCTAATTTCAGCGTTGATTCTTTTTTGTCAATATTTATGGATCATTTGTTTCTAATCTTTCTGTCCATTTTTACATGTTTAGGGATAGTAAAGATATTGGATTTTGTGTTTTCATGTGCAAGCTCCTTTTGATGACAGGTGAGCGAGCCAGAGAAATGGGGTTATTCTGCCGATTGGAAGAAAGTTCTTGTCTATTTCTTTGGAACCCAGCAGATGTGAGTACTCAATACATTTTCAATGGTTCTCATCTGAATTTCCTAGGAACGTTATTTCGTTATTAGAAAAAACTTTTGAACTTAGATTGTTGCCTGGTGAACTCCTCTCCATCCAACTCCAATTTTTCTTTGGTTTGGTGGGTTAAATTCTTTTCTTAATAAGTGGCAATTTCATTGATGATTGAAATTTACAAACGAGATGTAATATCCCTTTGGTTGAAAGGTCAGACGTGGAAGAGTTAATTTAATACCTTAGATTGTAATTGAGGAACTTTTATTGTTTGATAGGGCGTTCATGTTGTATCCTTTGTTACCATGCAATTGTGGATCATCTTTTGGTAACTTGTGCTTACAGTATGCAATTTTGGAGTTACTTCACTAAGGCATTAGATGTTCACTTAGCTGATAGTTCAACTTAGAGGGTTTGCGCGATTTTGTGCGGTCTTTGAAGTGCGAGGAACAGTAGAATATTTTTAATGGGTTCAGAGGTGTAGGACGATGAACGATCACTTTGTTACCTTTCATGTTTCTCTTTGGATTTTGGTATACAAGTCTATCTATATAAGTATTATGTATATCTTATTTTACTTGATTAGAGTATATTATTTTTTTTTTGTTCTAGTCGGGTCCCTTTTGTACAGAGCCTTCTTATCTATAAGCCTCTTGTATTATTTCATTTGGTCTCCTCGAAAGTTTGGTTACAAAAATGGGCACCAATCCAAGAAAATCGCCTAAAGCATAGTTTCAAAATTGATCAGAAATAGATACAATGAGAAGCATTAAATTCTACACAAGACTAAACCTCTTTTTGGGATCTTTCTACACGATTCAAAATTCTCTTATTTCCCTTAAGCCAAATCCCCTTACCCAGGTGGAAAACAAAGTGATAAATAGAGTAGTACACCAAAGGACATGAATCGTTAATGGATGGTGGATGAGCACCTTTTTCAACATAAAACATAATTAACAATGGTATTGAAGGATACCTAAAAGATTAAAGGAAAACCCAAATCGCATTGTAAACTAACAATTTCGAAAGTTATGATCCAAGTTCTTTGTCCCACCTTTGCAAAGAATGCATCATTACAACCTCTCAAGCTGTCCATTTAACCTACGAGGGACCCGTCCAAAATTGGGTTGGGATTCCATGTTTAAGCGAAGAATGCAAGAGGGAGCAAGGAGGGTTTCTCCCCTTTAACCTTGCCCCATCTTGCTTATATATGTGTGTGTGTGTGTGTGTGTGTGTCTCTCTCTCTCTCTCTCTCTCTCTCTCTCTCTCTCTATATATATATATATATATATATATATATATATATATATATATATATAAATTTACTTAGTAAATAAATATATATTTATTTTAATTGTTGAAGACTTTGTTATAGTGTTGAAATTTTAATTTTTAGAAATTATGTTGGTAGAACATTTTATTATATTTTTGCTTATGAAATATTATTGAATTTACTATTACCTTTTTAATAGAAATTATTTGAAATAATATTTTAAAAATACATATATAAAAAAGTGAAAAATTCCCCGCAGAGAACCCAATCCTTGTGTATTCCTCGGGGTAAATTCCTTTCCCAATCCATGTCAAACTAAATGGAGAATTTTGCGAAGATGAGGATATAAATGGGTGGCAGGCCCGTCCCTATCCGCCCCCATTGGACATCTCTACAACCTCCATAGAAATGGAGGAAATGCCTCGTGATCTGGTTTGCAGTATTAACTCTTCGATGCATAACTATCCATGTAAAATATTTGACCTTTGTTAGGAGTTTGGCCTTCCTCAACGAGGAAATAAAATGAATTGAGGAGCCAATTTGACCATAACTGATTAATGTATTTTTGACCAAGATGTACAAGTTATGAATCCCCCAACCCTCATTGTTGTTGGAGGGCCATGCCAAATATGAGGGAAAAAAAAAAGACTTGTAGGACCTGCGAACTAGGGGGACATGGCCAAGACCACTTAGTAATCCTTTAAGAAAGGAAGTTGGTATAGTTGAGGGATGAAAGAGAAATCAACAATCCTCTAACTTGGGTGGAAATCTTTGCTCATGTTATGCGAAGTTTTTAGATCTTTAGAGGCTTGGGGAGGGATCTGAGCGAGGTGTGGTCCTTGCTAGTGCTAGGTTCCATGTTCCTCTTTGGCTTTGGTTATGAGGTATTTTTATGAATATTTGTTAGGTTTTATCTTGTTTAACTAGGGTCCCTTCCATTAGTGGTGCTCCCTTTTGTGGGCTGGTTTTTCTGGATGACCGTGTGTTCTTTCATTTTCTCACCCCGATAGGTTGGTTATTTATTTTTTGTTTTACAAAACTTCTACTATCTCCATTCTCGAGTGATGGTTTATTAGATTGGTCACCAATATATGGTCGTCATTATTTGTGGTTAGAACTTAGCAAGATGACTTCAAGAGACCATAAGCCTATTTATGGTGTGGGAAATGTAAAACCACTAGCCCAATTACTTCTACACCAAATTCTCTAGAATATGTTTAGACCTAATTAAAGATGATACTCTGGCATGTTTCTTTGTATTTTAGAATGGTCAACTCAGTACCTATGTTAAAGTTTTTTTTTCTAGAAATCTAGAGTTTACCACAATGATGGATTTTGGACCTGCAAGTCTTCGTACTGGTTACCGGTCAAATTTTGTTTGTAACATTTGAAATGTTGATTCCTTACTAATGAGTTAGTGCAAGGTGGAGAGTGAAGAAGAGGAAGGTGCGACCTTGGAAGATTTATTTCGTTTTCATCTTCAACATTATTGACCCCCGCATTTAGGGTTGTTGTTATTATTATTAAGTAATTTGAACGATATCTTTCACCTTCAGCCACCAACCATTTTGTGAGATCCCACATTGGTTGGGGAGGAGAACAGATCATCCTTTGTAAGGGTGTGGAAACCTCACCCTAGCAGACGCATTTTAAAGTCTTGAGGGGAAGTCCGAAAGGGAAAGCCTAAAGAGGATAATATTTGGTAGCGGTGGGCTTGGGCCGTTACAAATGGTATTAGAGCCAGACACCGGACGATGTGCCAGTGAGGAAACTGTTCCCCGAAGGGGGGTAGACATGAGGCGGTGTGTCAGTAAGGACGCTGGGCCCTGAAGGGGGTGATTTGGTTGGGGTCCCACCTCGATTGGAGAAAGGAACAAGTACTAGTGAGGACTCTGGGCTCTGAAGGAGGGTGAATTGTGAGATCCCACATTGGTTGGGGAGGAGAACGAAATACCCTTTATAAGGGTGTGGAAACCTCTCTAGACATGTTTTAAAGCCTTGAGGGGAAGCCCGAAGGGGAAAGCTCAAAGAGGACAACATTTGCTAGTGGTGGGCTTGGGACACATTTTCTCCTCTGGTCTTTTTCACCAGTTCCCTGTCAACCTCACTATTTTTCTTTTTCTTCTTTGGTCTAATTGTGGTTAGGTCTCTCTCTCAGCAATCTCTTTTTCTTCTTTGCCTTAAGCTCTCTCTTTGTCTGTCTCTCTCTATCTCTCCTTCATTGATTCGTATCTCTCTCTCTCTCCATCTCACTCTTAGCTTTGGCATATAATTAGCCTCTCTCTATCTATCCAACTCTTTTACAATTTTTTAGTACCGTTTAAAAATGGGGCAATTAAACCTCATTTCTTTCCATGAAGTTTTCTTATTGTGTATATAGTCACGTTCCTTTATTTTTATGTACTTTTAATACATAGTGCACCTTGCAAAAAAAAAAAAAAAAAAAAAAAAAAAAAAGAAAGCCCATACTTTTTTTTGCGCATTACGCTTTAGTGAGCCTCAAGCTCTAAAAAACATTTTTGGCTTCCTAACAGATTTAAAGAAGGGCTAATAAACACTTATGATTGACTGCTGGATAGGAATATCCTCTTATTTAATTGGAAGACGTTGTCTACATTATTAGGCCTGGGAGGTGTAGGGTTGGGAAACTTCAGGCGGAGTGGATGCCTATACCTAAAAGGACGTGGTTGTATTCCCTGGAACCACAGGTTATTTAACACAAGAACATTCACAGTAACATTTAAACTGGGGTAATGAAACTGTATTATATTCTATAAAGATTTATGGCTCGAGAACTGACTACCCTTTCATTCCCAAGATCTCATTTAACTGAGCTTATGGTAGCAATGTTATTCTCTTTTTCGGAATTGCAGTATCAATATTTCTTGGATTTTCTTCTTTCTGCACTTTTGCTTGGTTGCACTTATTGAGTCTAAGGAAAAATGATTTGGACGCATGGCAAACCTGAAAATTTATGTTAACTCATCAATATCTCTTGCAGAGCTTTTTGCAACCCTACTGATGTTGAGGCATTTACTGAAGAGAAGAAGCAATCTCTTTTGGTTAAACGTCAAGGAAAGGGAGCTGATTTTGTTCGTGCTGTACAGGAGATCATTGATTGTCATGAGAAGTTAAAAAAGTGTGATAATAATGATGAGATTATCTCATCTGATGATGTAGCTCGAGTAAATGGGGGTAGTGTCGTGGATTCATCTGCCAACGTTGGATCAAAAGATGAAACAGAACCTCCTTTAGCAACTAATAACAATGTGCAGTCAAATAATTCACTTTCTTCTAGAGACACGAGTGAACCAGTTTTACCTATAAAGATTGTTTCGGCTAGCGAACAAGGTAATTCTTTGCTTGATAAAGAGGCCCTGCAGGATGAATCTACTGATGCTGCTGCTTCTGAGCAACCCTTTCCTGCTAGTACCTCCTCAAGAAAAAGGTCTGGTGGATCAAGATTAAAAAGCACTGTCACAAAGCGGAATGCATCTGTTCAGAGATCTAGAAGCTCCTCTAGAGTGGGGTCGCGCAGGTTACAACGCTCGACAATTCCATTTAACAGTGGGGACAAAGTGACCAATAACATTCCTGAAGAGTTATTGAGACAGAATAAGCGAAACAGAAAGTCACCTGATGGATCTGACTGCGATGATGCAACTTCAGAAGCTTTGATTTCAAATGTTAGCATTGAAGATAATGCTTCTGAAATTGTTACAGCTGACTCTGATACCTATAGCCTGAACGAATGTAGCACTATTGATTCTGGGTGTAAATTGGAGCACTCTGAGACTGCTGTAGAGTGTTTGGAGAGAGAGGTTGAGTTTGGCAAAGGACTTGATCTCCACATAAAGGCTGTTGTCATCAAGAAGAAAAGGAAGCCAATGAGAAAACGAGTGATCAATGATGCATCCAAAGATAATGGAGGTGCTCAAGACAAGGAGGAGATAATGGAGGCTGTGGTGGATGACTCTAACCAATGTTTACAAAATGATTGTGAAAATAGGACAGAAAGATGTTCCAAAGAAGATGGGGATGAACATCTTCCATTAGTGAAACGAGCTAGAGTTCGGATGAGCAAATTATCATCTTCCGAAGAATGTAAAAGACATTCAGAAACAGAAGAACAGAACCAAAAGGAAGCAGTAGCTATCAATCTTACTGGAAAAGTTGAGATTGATTCAAATTCTGCTGATGGTAGTATTGATAGAGGCTTGGATACAGCAAATGGTGTTCCTAATCACACATCACCTTCTAAGGTCTGCACTCAATTTTTTTCAAATTGGTCTCAGCTTTGTAATTTAAAGAAAGACCAATCGTTTTGTTGCTCAGTTGATGGGGAGTCTGTTTTACCACCATCAAAACGCCTTCATCGTGCTTTGGAGGCCATGTCAGCTAATGTGGCTGAAGAAGGTCAAGCTGCTGCTGAAACCACTATATCAATGCGAACGTCTATGAACGGGTTGCTCATAACTTCTACATGTAGTTCCTCTCATTTCCCGATGGAAATCAAAGAAGGCAATTGCTTAGGGCCGCAGAGTAGAACTTCTCATGATGACCCCTCCGAAATGGAAGATGAACGATTCTCCATTAGTGTGAATCACACAATCACCGAGGAAAATGGAAAGCCACCTTTAAAAGTAGACTTTGGTCATGAAGCAGATCAAAATTCACAGAGTCAACCACATGATTTCAAGGATGCTCTCATATTGGAAGGGGAGGGAAAGCATGTTGAAATTGCAGACCATCCAGATCCACAATCAGGCTGTCATTCAGATAGAACAGTAGTTCATGTTAATAGTGTGAAAAAGGAGTCTCCTTCTAGAAAACTGGCCGATGTCAGATCTAATTGTGGCGAAATGGTTCAGTTACTTCCTCTGGAGAACGAAGGAAACACTGTTATTGCATGTCCACATATTGTTTTATCTGAAAATCCTGATGAGCATTTGGAATCTTCGGAGAACATGGTTCGTGGACTTGTTGCTGGTCCCAGTGATATTGCTAGGCTTTCACATCATAATGGATCTGATGACGTGAAGTGTGGTGCAGATGACAACATGGTTGCTACGTCCCCGAAGCCTGCACCTGCTGAAAATTGTGAAGAGACCAACATGTAAGCAATTTTATGTTTTATTTCACTTTGTTTTGCAGGAATTTTAATAGAATTAAACTTGAAATTCTCAATATATGCCTCCTTGCAATTCCCATGAATTGAACTGCTTCAAAGACAATGGCATTTTATGCTTCTCCCATGTCCATTCCTGACATTCATTTCCTTCATCATATATCAATCATCTGTTGTTGAATATCTGTATATTGACAGGATTGTCGTTATTCGTCTGTTGTGTTTATCTAAAAAAGATCCAAATTTTATTTTAAATTTTCTTTTCAGTTGGCAAATCAAAGTCCTTTCAGTTATAGATTGAAAAACTCTTCACGATCCTATAATTAATTCCAGCATGCTTGTTCATTGCAACCTTTTCTTAACCGTTCTTAATGGCTTTCTAGTTAGTCATATGTCAGACATATAATGCTGATTCTGATACAAATCTCAGATTCATAATTTTTGGATGCTCGATGTGGAGGAAAGTCAAATAGTGAAACTCGATTTTTTTAGGGATCGTGTTTGGTCAAACAACTTAGCGTTCAATAGTTTTTAAAAAAAAATTATATTTGATAATTTTTCTGCCCGGCCTGTTCTAAATACTTGTTTTATTCTTCTGTCCTAGGCTTGATGTGAAAGAGGTAAACGGTAGAGATTCGGTGAACGATCGACCATCTCCCTTTTCTGGTGATCACGTTGTCCAAAAGGATGTATCAGAAGTACAGTCCAGTCTGTCTGTTTCATGCACGGACAATTCTCTTACAATGGATTTAGTTGATCCTATCTCTATTTCAGATAGGCATGGTTTTCTAAACAAAAGTATCAGTTTTAGTCCCAAGAAAAGTGTGGGTGTTCTGGAGGAAGTTAAGTTTGAATCTGCAGTGACTCTAAAGTTAAAACCTATGGGCAAGGATGTGGAAGCGCATGCTGCTCTTTCATCCTTCGAAGCCATGCTTGGGAACTTGACCAGGACAAAAGATAGCATTGGTCGAGCGACACGTGTAGCTATTGAATGTGCAAAGCTTGGTGTCGGCTCTAAGGTAATATAATTTTTTTTTTGGATTCTTGTTGCTTCACTTTCTCGTTGTTTTCCTTTCCAGTGTTAACTACATTCATTTCTTATCTCCTGGATTTTAAGGGACACTGACACAACTGGAATTGTTTTCCAGATATGTTTCAATTGAACTTTTTTTTGAAACAACTGGAAAAATTTTCTGAAACAATGGCCAAACAAGTTTTGATTGATTATTCAAGGACCAAGATTGTAGACACATTGATGTTTCCAAGTACAATTAATTATATGGTATGAAGAATTGAAAATATATTTTTATATCCTCAATTGTACTATTCTTGACAAGCCGATTCAAATCGTTGCAACCAAGATCGTTGCTTGCTATTGAAATGTTATGAAAAAAGACTGCATCTTTTTCTCTTTCGTCCGTGGGTAGGTTGAACTATGTTCGAAAATGTCAGATGCTGCACTATTGGGCATTTTTGAATAATGTCTTTTCTCAACTTTTAGCTATTATCTGTGACTTCTTTTTCATTAGTTTGAATCAAAATTCTCCCTAGGTGGTTGAAGTTCTCACTCGGACTTTGGACACGGAATCAAGCTTGCATAAAAAGTTGGACTTGTTCTTTCTTATTGATTCAATCACGCAGAGCTCTCAGAATCTAAAAGGCAAGTCATTTGACCTTAATTCTCTGCTGGGTGTGTTATAATGTTATGATTTAATGAAGATTTTTTTTCTTCTTAACTTTATATGAAAGATGTTTCTCAATGCTCTAGGCAATGTTGCTGATATTTACCCACCAGCCATCCAGTTGGTTCTCTCACGACTCCTGGCTGCTGTTGCTCCTCCCGGAAGCAATGCGCAGGAGAATCGTAAACAGTGCATTAAGGTCTTGATAATTCTAAGTACTTGGATTGATATTCGTTCGATCTCTTCTTTCGATATCCATGTTTTGGTTTACTCACCCTTCATTGTCTGCTACAGGTTTTAAGGCTATGGTCACAGAGAGGGGTCCTTCCAGAATCAATAATTCGTCATCATATGCGAGAACTGGAGTCACTAAGTGGCAAATCATCCGTTGGTGCCTACTCTCGGCGTTCATCGAGAACAGAAAGGTCATTAGATGATCCTCTCAGGGAAATGGAGGGCATGCTTGTTGATGAATATGGAAGGTTTGATCATATTGTCAACTTTTCCCAAAAAGTCTTTTTATTAAAATAACCTTTAACTGCTAGAACGTATCCATTTATTATTTTTACACTATTGCAGCAATTCGAGTTTTCAAATTCCTGGTTTCTGCATGCCCCAAATGCTTAAGGACGAAGACGGGGGAAGTGATTCTGATGATGGAAGTTTTGAGGCTGTTACTCCCGAGCATACATCTCAAGCTCGTGATGAACCTGAGACTGTTCGTGTTATGGATAAACATAGGCATATCCTGGAAGATGTTGATGGTGAGCTCGAAATGGAAGATGTTGCTCCCCCTTGTGAAGTTGAAATGAGTTCCTCTAACTCCGTAGTTGTAAATGTCATCGAGGCTGTGCATAATAAGTTTGCGCAGCATTTTCCTCCACGTATGCCTCCACTCCCTCAAGATGTGCCACCATCATGCCCACCTCTTCCATCGTCCCCTCCTCCCCAGCCTCCGCCTTTGCCCCCCTCATTCTCCAGGAGTGATTCATGTGCCAGTGATTTCGAGTTGGAGCGCTCCTATATGGACACAAATGTTAGTACCTGTTCTTTTCATTATACATATAATTTTCTAATTCTTTCCCCTAATGGTTATGATATAATGCAGAATGTTCAAGATAATTCGATGCAACTGGTGGGACAATCATCAAATACATCTGGGACTACTCAAAGAACAAGTGATGCAGTACATTACCCCGCTTCATCAAATGCATCGGGGACTAGTCAAAGAACAACTGATGCAGTACATTACCCTGCTTCATCTAATGCATCTGGGATTACTCAAAGAACAAGTGATGCAGTACAATACCCTGCTTCAGAACGCAGAGATCTTCAGATGCAGATGCCCGAATCTACTTCTCGTTCTTTCAGCAACATCCCTGCTCGAGTATTGAATAATGGCCAGCATGATGATTCTACTGCATTGCACAACAGTGGTTACCCCTTAAGACCACCCCATCCTCCACCACAAGATCAGTTTACCTATGTCCACGGAGATCACCGCATGAAGCCTCGATGGGAGGATCCTCCTGCTTCTTATTCAAGTAGGTTCCGCTATGCAGAAGATACCGATGGCGAGTACTTCTACAATGACCACGAAAGAATGAGACATTACTCCTACGAACCACATGAGAACTGGAGGGTTCCACGACCGTTCTACGGTAAAATTTGTAGCATATATGACAGATCAATATGAGAAATATTTACCTCTTTTAATAGATACCCTGTCTCTTTCTTTGATATAGGTTCTCGCTATCATGATAGAGGTAGAACATCCTATGGTCCTGTTTCTTGCGGTGGAACTCCATGTGAACCAACAAGATTACATAGCCAGAGGTGGAGATTTCCCTCTCGAGATATAAACAGTAGAAGCTCAATGCCTTATAGACAACCTTATGATGGCCCCGTGCGTGTTTCAAATAGAGGTGACCGACTTATTTTATAGCCATTCTTTTCATCCATATATAAATCTTAGAATATAGTTATGATTCCATTTGACATCAATAATGTCACTTCTAGTGTAAAAAAAACATTAAGCCACCACCGCAAACCCCAGTTAGATTCCGGCAAACCCGGTTAGATTCAGACATGATACACTTTTTAGTTATGGGGAGAACCCAAGTACTTTCTATCGGATCCAGGAAACACAGCTCTCAAAGAAATTCATAGGTATAAGAAGAAACTCTGTCCTATAGAGATTTTTTTTTTCTTTCGACCATCTTTTCGATTGTTAATACAAAATATAAGGACTGCTACTACAAATAGTACTACAGCCTTGATCGTGAAATATCGATTGCTTGTTGAATCTTGTGAATTGCGTGAAAGTAGGACACTTCAAATTCGGGAGTCTAAGAGTTTTATAAAATGAATGTATTCTTTTATCAGTGTTAACTGCTTGGATTGGACAGTTTGTTCATTTATTCTCTGTATTTCAGGTCCTAGCTTTTGGCGACCAAGATGAAGAAACACGATCTAATTACTAGAAATGGTAACAAATCGTTATAAAGTTCACAAGTATCGTCGTCGTCCTCATCATCATTGTTATTATTAATATTAAAGTTTTGCGCTAACTGCGTAAACCGTTGGGGATTGCAGGTAGAAACGATTTTTTAGCTTACTCCGTGAGATGTTGGCACGGTTCTTAGAAGGTGCAAACAACGACGGAATCCACGTGTGCCGATGATGTACATAGGTAATATATCATCCTCTCCTCTCATGCAGATGCTGGGCAGGTAGGCTGGAACCGCTGTAGAGATGGTTGAGAACTGTAATTACGTAGGCTGTTTATGCAGTTTTTTCCAATTCTCTTTTAATTTAGAACCTCTGAATCCCCAATTTTTTTAGCATAATCTATCACTTGGAAACCCCTTCACTGGGTAGTTTATCAATATACAAGCGCAGTTGTTTAAAACAATTCTTACCTCGTTACCTCCTCATGCCTTAGTAGCTATCATCCATTAAAAACAAACTCGTATCGATGGTTCTCTACGACAACCCGGTCTTCTCCTCTTATCCTTACCCATTTGATTGTTTTTTTCATGCCTCACAGCATAATGTAAGGTATTATTATGTTAGCAGCTACTTCTTGTTCAACATTAATGTTTGCAACTTTTGTACATTCATTTATATATAGATCTTCCTCTTCATGCCTACTGAATATTCTGGTGGACGTCTTGTTGAGTATGAACTTTCTTGAATGGGTTGAGGGAGGCTGTCTGTCTCACCATTGTTTGTTATAAAAGCATTTGAGAAGGGAAGAAAAAGTATGGTAAGACGTGTTGAATGTTGAATGAAAGAAGAACGTACGACCGAAGCAGTATTCTACTTTTAGATCTTGAGTATTGTGTTTAGTAAGATTTTGATCCTGTGATCCTGAACCGATCTTACTTGGGATCGCACATTCCTAGTTTGTCTATGAAGAGCAAAACTAATTATATTAGTATCTATAATTGATTTATTTAGTATTATCAATCGGGCCTCATTGGTAAGTGCTACAAGATCTTGTCCATTGGAATCTGTGGTTATGGAATCGAATCCATTAGTATGCAACGTTTTCTTTTCCGAGTGAAATCTCCTAGTATATGATAGAGTGAAAAAGTGCTCTCGTGGTTGTGGAATAAGAAGCCTACTTGCCCAATACTTCTCCCTTAATCTGAAACGAAGGACGTAAAAGGGGTTGAAGTGAGCAACCTGTTGAGGTGAGTGATGGGAAGAGAAATGAAAAATATTGTCGCACTATTGAACTTAAAACGTCGAGTTAAAAACAAATTGCTGTCAAATTTGAAAGTGCATGTTATCGTTAAATGAAAGAATAAATAAATGATTATGTAATAATAAATTGGAAAAAGATTACCATAATTTTCATTTTTATTTCATCTCAAAGTCAATAGTGAATGTTTGAATGTTCATTCCTTACCATAAAAATAAATTTTGGGTTTTAGCTTACATTGTATCAAACGTTTACTCAATTCAGCTCCCCATTAAGCAATAAGCAGTTAGGTCACAAACCAGTTGGGAATTCATTGGGACCCATTAACGGATCGATTCGAAACGAAATCCTTATTGAGCGATCGAAGTCCTTTCCTTGATCTTTTCTCTTCTTCCTTTTCAAATTCATTGATCGCGATCGCCGAAGAGGAGCAAAAAGATGGGGGCATCTCACTCAGTGGCAGAGAAATCCATCCATGAATTCACAGTCAAGGTTTTAACCTCCCTTCCCCACCCCCCCACTACTCCATATCTCTCTTTTTTGCCTTTTTCTGTCTCGATCTGTGCTTCGTCTCTTTCCTCAGAGGGACCTCCATTCTTTTAGAGCATCTTTTTTCTTAATGAGATCGTGCTGGTGGAGCGCAGGATTTCAAAGGCAAGGACGTAAACCTCAATGACTATAAGGGGAAGATCCTTCTTGTGGTTAACGTTGCGTCTAAATGGTTTGTTTGTCGCCTTCTTTTGTGGATTGTTTCTCTGTGGGTCTCCCATGTTTGGCTCAATTACTGAGTATTGTACTTCCTGTGTCTGTTTTCGCATCTGAACAGTGGGTTTACAGATTTGAATTACAAGCAGTTGACTGAACTGTACAACCGATACAAGGATGAAGGTTTCGTTTCCCCCTTTTTGAGTTATTCATTTATTATTTAATCAACTGTGAGCCCGTTTATCATCAATAGTTCATAGCTTTTCCTGCTGCTTGATAAACTGAATTCAATTAAATTGCATATATAATTAGTGTCCATAATTGCTTTCTTCTGCATAGTACTGGGCCTCATTCTTTAGGTGCTACAAGATCTCGTACATTGAAACCTATGGTTATGAAACTGAATTCATTAGTATGGAACATTTTCTTTTCCAAGTGAAATCTCCTAGTATATGAAAGAGTGAAAAAGTGCTTTCGTTGTTAGTGGAATAAAAAGCGTTCGTATTTTAATGCATTAGAAAAAGAAGAAAAATATCGAAGTATGATGAGCAAGGATTTTGTGAACCACACTAACCATTTAAAAGAAATCGAAGAGAGAAGTTATAAATCTTAAAACAAGGAATCTACCGGGGCCCTATAGTTGTAGTGCGTGTCTGAGCCCTGTCCTGAGAAAAGACAGGCCTTATTCCACAGACACTCCTCTCGCAAGAAACAACAACTTCATGTGCAGTTAAGCTTTCTCACGAATGGTCTGCTCATTGAAAGGAACTGTGAAAGAATAATTTTGCTAGATGGGAGAGAAGGAAACGAGGAAGATATTTTTTTCATTTTTGGAGACACAAGCTTTCTACAGAGGCCATTCTCTGTTTTTCTCTGTAGTTTTTCAAAAAGGTGTTCTGTGTGGGTTGGTATTTGTTTTTCCATTCTGCCCTGTTGCACTGTGGAAGATTCAAAATTAGAACACCTTGAACTACCAAAGGGCCAGAGAATGAGCCGAAGCCATGGACACCTACTTAGAATTTAATATTTTACGAGTTTCTTTGGCAACTAAATATATTAGCTTGAGATGGTTGTCCCATGAGAATAGTCGACGAGCTGCCTTCAAGCTGGCCAGACACTCATGGATAATATATGTATATAAACTGCTCTGTAAACACATCTAGTTGTAAAAGGAAAGCGGTTTTGACTTCTTCACTCTGTTATTGAATTGCAAGAATAAAAAGGTCACAAATTATATGATATATGTATATATATCCCTGATGTTTTTCTTGGCTGATCCTTAGTGCATTTTCTTTGCAACCTCGGTAATGGTATTGAAGCATTCTGTATCTTCTTTGGTTATTAGTTGTTTCTTTTATTTGGTTCTTACACTATAGATTTACTGTCCTCAGACTTTGAAATACTGGCATTTCCATGCAATCAGTTTCTGAAGCAAGAGCCCGGAACAAGTGAGGCGGCTCAAGAATTTGCTTGTACAAGGTACAAAGCAGAATATCCAATCTTCCAAAAGGTAATGATGCTTTTCTAATAAACCTTGTTTTTGGCTTTCACTGAAGGTTAAGAATCATATTCTGATTATGTGCCATTAACTCAGTTATATTCAAATATCTGAACTGTGAATTTTTGTCCTTATGTTGTCTATGAAGATTTTGGATACATTATGATAAAAGTTTCACCATTTGCTGAATTTGATGCATTGTTATTTGAGCAGCTTCTTGAAGTTCCTATGATTTAAACTATCACAATAGATAGAACTCATGCGGGGTACGAACGATAGAATTTTTTAAACTTTTAAAAGGCATATTAATTTGCTCCTTAAGTTTGTTAGGAGTAGGATCACGATATCAAATTTGTTCTCTTTTTCTTCTAGTTTGTTCTCTCACTCGAGCTTTAAAATGTTGAAATCGACCGAAATGTTGAGGTGCCAATATTATGATAATGTTGATGGAAATATCAATAAAATGTTGATATCGATAAAAATTTCTGAAAAATTCCACAAAACAAAAAAAAAAATTAAATTAATCAATTAACATTCTTAAACTTCTTATATAATTTAAAATGCTTACTATTTGTATTACTTTCACATTAGTGACATTTTGTGGCTTCTTAGTTATGTTTCATCAATTTTTTTACAGTTCAATCGATTTTTTTTTTTTTTTTTTGGGTCACGCAGATACGTGTGAACGGGCCAGACGCGGCGCCAGTCTACAAGTTCCTCAAAGCAACTAGCAATGGGTTCTTAGGCACCCGGATAAAGTGGAATTTCACCAAGTTCTTGGTAGATAAGGAAGGGGTTGTCATCAACCGCTATGGCCCGTCCACCACTCCATTGTCTATTGAGGTACGTTGTTCTAAGCAGCCCCATGAAACTCATTTCCTTGATAATGAAACTGCTTTGTTGTTGATCGTAGCATTGTTTTTTTCCAATTACTGTCTCAGAGTGACATCAAAAAAGCATTGGGAATTTCTCGACTTACCTCTAGACCTCATGCTTAATGTAAGTCCACATGAGTTAAAGTAATTGAAGACACTAATAGAATATAACCAAATGGTAAAGGTGTATTCTCCCTTGGCTGTAATTATTGTATTAGCAGTAATAGTCCAACGGGTCTGTCTGTGTGCGTGTGCGCGTGCGTGTTTCTTCTTGTATTTCGAGGGAATGTAAGTAGTGGCTATTCTTTGTGTTGTGTAGTATTTTTGGAGGCTGTTATTTGGATATGTTTATTTGTTTGATTTGTATTAGGAAGTGCATTATGGATGGCCAAGTTATCTTCATAAACGTTGTTCTGCTGGTTTGATTATGCAAAGTTGTTAATGACGAATATCGAATAGGAAGCGTACATTGTTTTAGAAGTAATTTATACATTTCCATATACTTTAATTTAGGTTACCTTTATTTTCAATGTAACTCAATATCTACTCATTGTCGGTGCATTGCCTATCTTGAACTATTACACAAAGAACTCATTTCAATAATCTTGCTTCAACATACTAGGGCCTCTATGAGTTTTATCAACCTCTATTGAAATAGACTCATCGTATAGAAGTTAGACGAGGTATGCCTTAAGATGACCATTATAATACACGGGAACCAAATATCTAAAGCAAGACAGCCAATAGAGGTCATGACTTTCTCACTTGACTTGAAAGCTTTCGATCCCATGAAGACAGAGTGTGATATGAGAGATAACTTATCTCACTTGATTGCATACTTTGGTGGAAGAAAGAGAGGAGTGGTAAGGTTCATCCACAATATTATTCACCATGCATGTACAAAATCAATCTAGAAAAGAGACTATTGGAAGCTAAATATAGCCGGCCGAGACAACTAGGGTTAGATCTAGGATTTATAGTTTAAATCCGCACACTTGAAAGCTATGATACACTTGAAGCTATGATACAATTCTACAGAAACAACTACGAACGATCCGAATATGATCCGAAATCCAATAAAATCAAATCAGGATTGTTGGGATTGTGGATCCAAATATCAAAAAACTAAATCTCACTCAACCCACGAACGTTCTTAGCTCGATCGATGCAATAAATGGCCGACATGTCGGACCAAGGGATGAATGGGAAGACTACAAAGGCACATTATTAGAAGCATCCATTAGAGATGACAATGGTAAATGAAGAGTCACTCTCAAGTGAGGTTTGTCAAGGAGACAACTTTGTCTGCCTTTTTATCCATTGAACTTCCAACATTCTCACATCCACCATACATTAAGTGTTAATTTTAAAATCTCTTCCAACACCACTAGACAACAATGTTATTTATTTATTTATTTTATTATTCTTATCCTTATTATTATTATTATTTTATATGGCATTCTTATAATATATATATATATATACATATTGATTTGATGATCATATCTTTTAGAAAAGATATTTTATTTGGCCCATTTATCAATAACATATTGTTGTGAAAAGAGATTTTTAAATGTGATATAATATAATAAATTAGAATAAAAATTAATTGATGAAATAAAAAATATATTATAATTACTAGAATACACATTATTATTATTTAATTAAGATAACAACAATCAATAATAAATTCTAGTTTATTAACTTATTTTAACAATTTTATGTATTATTTAAAATATTTACTAATTAAAAACTATAATATTACGGTCATTTTTTAATTCGAAGTATAACTATTAATATTAAATTTTATTGTCACGGTATTTAATAAAAATTTATTTTATTTTAATAGTTTAATTTGTATTAATTAATAATATTAAGTAAAGTTAATCATTTATGAATTAAAGGGAGATTTTTAATTATTTATAATAAAAAACACATTAACTAAAAAAAAGTTGGTATAATTTTTCATTAGAAGAATTTTATTATTATTTCTTTTAGTGAAGGATATAGATGAATATAGAAAAAATTAAATATTAATTAAAATTAAATAGTTAACAAATTATATAGTAAATATCGGTAAGTTAAAATCATCGTAAGCATCAGCTAATGTGACTACTAAGCTATTTCTCTCGAACTGAGCCAACCCTAAAAAGAGGATTACAAGCTTGGGATCGATGAAGCAAAAAGTTTCGAGTGTCTTCTTCAATAGTTATATCAGCTCATAAGACGCAAGATGTACTTTGTGTTGGGGAAGGGGTGGCGATTCCTTGATGACAACATTCTAGAAGCTTGAGCGATAAAGTTCCATCGACGTAAAAAGTTACGGAAGTAAATTGTGAGAAATAGCCAGTTTTTTTACTTGAACGAGAGGATTCTGACCATTGAAACCATTTCTATCTTATAGTCTTCGAAAGCTATACTTCGAAGTCATTGACTCAGTGGTATCTTAAATAGATACTCAAAATGTTAAATAAGGGACGGAGGTAACACGATCCACAAAATTTTTGACACCAAACAAGTGCGAAAGGTACGTCACGAGAGCTACCAAGCCAACCATTCAAATTGATTTTTCTTCATGGTTAACACTAACTTTTATATTTTATGTGGTTTAGACTTCACCTGTTCGTATCAAAATATCGAAAATTTGTGACTCTTACAAGATCAAAAAGTCGATATTTCAATGGATGATGTTGCGACGGATGTCGATATCCAATTTGGGTATCAAATGAGTATATATTTGAGCCCTTATAGCTCAAACTAAGCAACTTAAAGGCATTATTGCATAGAAGAGATAGGGTCTTGGTGTGATCATCTTCCATTGCCAATGGCAGCAGCAAAGAAAGAGCAAAAACAGTCAAAGAGGTGTTCATTGGGCCAACTCTCAAAGCACCTGAAACAACACAAAGGAAGGCTTTATATCATATGGAAATGTGCAATTATTCTTCTTTCTTGGAGTGATTAACCAAATATTTCCGAATCTTTCCATTTCTTCGATCTTGTCAAATCGAAAAGCTGTGATCTTTGTCGTCGAGTTTGTGAAACGTGGCTATTGACTAGGATTCGTTCGTGTAAGAAGTAAGAATTTCTCGTTGATAGTAATGCACTGTGGGGGACGGAGTAGTAAGGGCCCTTCTTACCTCCTCCGAGTCGTTCGACGTTGAATATTTTCGTTTTTTCGCAGGGTTTCTTTCTTTCTCTTTTGTACATATATGGAATCGTGGTGAATCTCGGTTTTTTTTTTCTATTCTTGAACGTACTATTAGAATCTCGGTTTTTTTACTCCAAAAAAGATTGAAAAAAGTTATCATAATGAAAAGCTTTTGTTGATAAAACATTGTTGGAGAAGTGTTTTGTCGATATCAAAATTGTTCACATCGAAAAAAGTTGTGCGATCTTCGTTAACGGAAATCCCCTTAAGTTATTAACCATCATAGTTTAGTTCATTCAGATCTTATGTAAGATATGTTGGTGTTGCAACCAAATGCGATGAGTAGTCTTGACATGATGAACTTCTAGTATGATTTTATAAGACCCGATGCCTATTTTATGATTTCAAGGCTAAGTGATTTCTAGTTTTATTCCGTAACTTTTAGTCTCGAGAGAGGTCATAATTCATTATCATTATTTGTGTTTAATGCTCTTTATTTGGTTAGGTTACGATCTACTTAGATCAAGTGGCTCTGTCTCGGTTAATTTAACTATAGCACACAAGGTGACTTCTATTCCTATTTGACGACTTTTGATCTCACTTTTTTAGATTACGACTCACTCGAGTATAACAACCTTTGGTTCGACTTTATGGGTCATATTATGAAAATAGATTTTGAATATTAAATTTTGAAAATAGAAGATCATTTGCAAAAGAAATTTAAGGGAAAAAAATAGGAAATATGTATCTCAAAAGATTTGGTTGGCCATATGTGGGGTACTCAGTTTTGGCTATTTTTCAATCAATTTTTTTTCCTCCTTTTTCTAATTTAATTTTATTTACTTTTGTTGACTTTTAATTTGCACTTTGAATTTATATGTTAACTTTGTTTTATTATTTTTAAATGAATGAATATTTGAGGACTTCTTCACCATTCACCATGACACTCACCCATATTTACAATTCACGATATTGATAGGAGCCTAGAATCGAGTAAGTTAGGTTGACGTAGTCCTAGTAAACTGATTTAAACCTCGAATAAGAACTAGTTCACCAAACTCGAGATTTTAATCATCAAAGTCGGGCACTCCTTAAACCTGCCTTAGAGTTTTTATCAAATATGAGTGATCTAGTCTCGAATGCATCATGAAGTTCAAATTTACTCTCAACATATCAAAATGATATGGGGAATCCGAAGTTGAAATTGAATAACCAAAATGTCAGTACAGAAACACAATCCAAACTGGTTCTATAATCACTAAATTTATGATCCAAAGAGCAGCGAATATCCAATCCATTGCTTTATAGACTGTACCAAAACTAATATAAACAATATATCTAAAGACTTGAGACTTAATTTATTTTGTCTTCTAAGTACCAAAATTCTACTTAAAACTGAAGCAGAAAAAGAATATAAAACTTAAAAAAGCAAGTGGCTAACCTGACAAATCTTCACTTCTGGACTCTTCAAAACTCCCTCAAACTTCGCTCTTTTGCATCCACCAAATGTGGAGCATCAGCAAACTCAGCATCTTTGTCAAATACATCCCACCCATCATCTGAACATGCTTTCAAATGGTTTCTTTCTGATCTTTCTTCTTTAAGATTGTTTGATGACATGCTAGATTTGGAGCTAATGAATGAGGATGCTCGGCTTCCCTCCTTATCGAGATTCGAGGATGAACCTTTCTCAGCATCCAGATGAGATGCTGTGTCTGTTAAGGGTGAGCAAAAACGTGCCAAATCGCTAGCTGCGCTTTTTAGAGATGAACCTGATGAAGCTAGAATGCAGCTTGTTTGACTAGAGGAAAGAGATTTGCTTAATGGTACATCCAAGTCGAACTTCTCCTTCAGATGCCTTACATCTTGAACAATAACTGAAATTTCTCCCCTGAAAGCATACCATGTAGTGTTTCGTTTTCTCATACCGAGATACAAGTTGCGAAATCGTAAAGCAGTACCGGTAATTTTGAGGACAAAATGTCAGTATAAATATTATACAGATAAGGATGCAAATAATAGTTCTGAAAATTGGAAAATCGCCTTTGGTTAACGCATCCCCTAATACAGGCGGTAGCTCTGCCTCATGGGGACAAATGGCGTTAGGCATGTGATGCCCAAGAAACGTATTCCCGCAAATTAGTAAACCAGAGGCAACCATAAAAGAAAATTAGATATCCAGCAGATTTTATAATGCAGTAATGATTAAAGACACGAGTTTAAATTCGTTATGCAGATGCTTATCATAAGGTGCAGGCTTGTTTGTTTTTCATGTGATGAACAACAATGCACAGGGACAACGTTAATCTCTAACATCGTTAAGTTTATAGAAGAGA